ACGACACGCCTAGTTTAGTGACACAGAAGTACAAGGTGAGGATCTAAAACTGACGCTGAAGTCATTAGGTACTACGTGATGGTCATGCCGGTAGGAAGCCGTAAAAGCCGTACACGGGCAAATGGAACGGATTGTAAAAGCCCTGCTCACACTGTCTTCAAACAAAGATCCAAAAACCTACTCTGAGAGCAGAGCCTTATTGAACGCCATTTGCGACTTGGAGTTTCTCTTTGGACTGTGTGTACTGAAAGTAATCCTGAGAAACACTAATAGTCTGTGCCGTTATCTTCAGGGGAAGACGGTTGACGTCATCTTCGCTCGTAGAAATGCCGACTTGACCATTCAGACCCTACGGCAGTGTCGGAGAGAAGAAAGTTACAAAAGCGTATGGCAGTTAGCATCAGCAATGGGTCTGAAAATGAAGAATTGGCTGACCAATTCTCAGTTTGAATTACGAGAAACCAGGGCACCCAGACAAACGCCGTCCCGCCGCCTCTAAGCCCTCAGTTGTAGGTGAACATGCGCAAAGACAAACGCAGACACCGGAATCGCACCATCGTAGAAACACTTACTATACGTCCATCGACAAGGTGCTGTCTGAGCTTGAGCTCAGGTTTAGCGGAAATGACCAGAAAATACTTTGTGATTTGGGAAATATCTGTCAGAATGAAACACCAGATAAAGAAAGCTTCTCCCGAGTTGCTAAATTTTACAAAATCCACAGGGAGATTCTGGAAGCCGAGCAGAAAATGTACGCGAGCTTTCGTCGTGTACGTAAATTAGGCCACATAACTGTTTCAGAAATGATGCAGACAATGCACGAGAATGACCTATTTGATATGTTCCCAGTTTTCTAGTGAGGTACACATCCTTGCAGTGATACCTGCTACATCATGTTCTGCAGAACGATCATTCAGTGGGTTGTGCAGATTGAAAAGTTACCTCCGCAGCACCGTGGGGCAACAACGTGTTAGTAACATCGCACTTATTAACACTGAAAGGGAATATGCCAACTCTGTAGTCGAGAAAGACATGGATCGTATCATTGATATATTTGGCCGTCGAAATGGCAGAGACAGCTATTTCTTTTACCGTGTTTTATATGTACGCCTATGTTAGTGTATCATATGACGACTGTTTCGTAAAAATTTGGGCAACTTGCGAGAATTATTTGGGCAAATGGTTCACCGCCCCCCCTGGCAAAAAATTGCCTGTACGCCTATGAATGGCGCTATATAAACTTTGTTGTTATTAATATTATTATAGACGGAACAATTCGATAAAAGCGAAACTTAAAAGTGCACGAAGTACGTACATGACTGACATAACAATTAATTGAAAGAAAATGTTGAAAGCGTGTGAGATACTAACCTAACAATCGGGCGAGATCAAATCCTACAGAAAAATACTTACCTAGCAATCCATTGAAAGAGAATCGTAAAAGCCTGCAAAATGCTAACGCAACAACTTAGGGAAAGAGAATCCTAAACGTGGGCGAAAGACAAACGAAACATTCCAATGACCGATAATTCCAGAAAGTGCGCAAAATACTAACGTAACATTCAAATAAAACAGAATCTTAAACTTGCGTGATATTATGTACCTAATAGAGAGATTTAACACCGCGTTTACGTGAAACGNGAAAATATTACGTACACGAAAAACGCGAAGCAAGCTACTTTCACGTAAAAACGGCAAAGCGCAACCAGCAAACGTGAAAAAAGTAGCGGGAAAAACAAGGTCACGTGGTCACTCTTGCCGTTTACGTTTCACGTAAACGTGCTGCTAAATCTCTTTATTGACTGAGTTTGACCGTTGTATCGAGGTCCGTGCGTCATGAGAGCACAAAATTTTTTTCCCGTCCGGCCCGACCAAACTTGATCAGTAAGCATTTTATTATCTAACCACCAACTGTTGAAAATATCGAAAATTCTTTCTCAGCCTAGATCTAGGACGCGACAGACGGGCGCACGCTTAACATCCCCAAAAACGATTCTGCAATATAAACGTTTTCTTTTTTTCATTCGTGTAAGAAAATGAAACTCACAATTTATGAAAAAAAGGGGCCTTTTTTCTCTCCTTTCCTCCTTTAAGTTTTTGGAATAAAGCCGTGTGAATGCTGGGCCAGACGGCTTTTTCCGGACCGACTCACGTCAACCCATCCGGCCTTACACACGTCAGCTTTCACTACGGTTTTGTTTTTACGGCTTGGGCGCGCGGGGTCGTACGGGTAATATGATAAACTAACCTAATAATCAGATGAAAGTATATCGTTACAGTGCACAAGGTACTAACAATTGAATGAAACTGAATGAAATAGAATCTTAAAGTGCACGAGGTAACAACTAACGTAACAATCCAATGAAAGAGAATCCTAAAATTGCGCGAGATAGTAACGTAGTAATGAATTTAAAAGGAATCCTAAAAGGTGTGCGGATACAAACGTAACAATTCAATGATAAAACACAGAACTCGCGGATTCTTCTTCGTTTTGTTGTTTATTCTCCGCACACACTGAGAGGACTTATAACTCACTAGAAAATAACTCTAGAAAACTCTCTCTGAAAACTCGCTATATGTTGCGTCCGGTTGCCTGATTTTGCTCGCTCGTTTTCACTACCTTATTTGGTAGTACTCGCAGATGTAAAAAGCTAGGAGGGATGGGGTCGGTCAAAACTCTTGTACAATGTAAGAGAAGCACAAAAGCGCGCGATATTCTAACGTAATAATCTAATTAAAGATAATCCTAAAAGTGTGCGAGATAGTAATGTAACAATTCCATGAAAGAGAATCCTAAAAGTGCGCGAGATACTAATGCAACATTTCATTTTGTACCCCCACAAATATCAGTTGTCAGTTAAAATTAAAGCCATTTATCAGTTCTCAGTTAGATTTTAAGCTATTTATCATTTGTCAGTTAAATGTCAGTTAATAATTAACTTGGCGACTCTCCAGCCCTATTTTTGGCTAAAACTCGAAAGTTAACTGAGTCGAAAATTGATACAATAAGAACTCCTTTTTTTCAATTCTGGAATGGAATAATTCCAAGATCTTCCAAGTGACTTTCAGTCTCTGTTTGAAGGATCTTTAAGTAAGTTGCATCTCTTCTGCACACAAAATTATGTTTGCCCGTGTGCAACATTGAAACTTTCCTTTTCAGCCACTTAACCCGTCAAAATAATCGAAAGAAGATCATCAAAAAGCAGAACAATTGTGAAGAGTCCTCTGGCACAATATATCGGTTTATTATGCGTCGATTGCGATTGGCTCCGATGAAATGATCGGAAAGGAATGTTCTTTAGTCCACTTTTTAAGAGGGTGTTTAGAGATATCTACTGTTAGCGTAACTTAAAAATCCAAGCGAAAATGGGCGCGAAGTGGTTGCCCAGATCTAGAAGCCGGTCAGAAAAGTCGTATGAGTCCATGTCACACTTTGTCTGCATATGTTCGCACCTCAGCAACTGCCACTTCAACGATACAGTCGTCAACAAATGTGGCATCTGTCACATTCCCACCTTCCGAAGTAGCTTGGACGGTACATTTGTCTCTGCTGAACCCTACTGGTTGATCTCCAGAGATAAAATCGTTCCCTGGTCCAAAGTTCACTTTAGTGGAATCTTGTTGCGTCGGTTGGACGGCCGGTGGTGAGGCCCCTGCGTTATCCTTGGTAGTTTCCTCTCGAACTGTCCTTCGCCTCAACGGAAGATACTTCTCCAAAAATTCTTTCAAGGCACTTTCAGTCTCGGGTTGATTTCTTCTGAAGGTAGAGGTCGCATAAAGTTGACATTTGTAAACTCCGTGCTGGTCTGAGGGACAGCATAGTAGGATTTTTCATGAATAATATACGGCTGCCCCTTTGTTACTGTCTTCATGGACACCTTATAAGTAAACATATAATTTTGATATTACTTTTAACTCTTGGAAACATATCTTCTTTATAAACGCCAACAGTCAAAGGCCCTGAAATTAAACTATCAACCGTCAAATTTAACCCCTCCTTAAGACCCTTCGGGTAACTCTCTTCAAATACGATTTGGAGCAGGCAGACAAGGACTGATTCTAGAACTGGCCTGGGGCTGAGGAGTTACTCCCGGAAAATTTCCACTTTGTTTTTGCTGTTTTATCTACATTTTTTCCCGTTATCATCATCATCTTTATCTTTTTTAAGTGTTAAAAAGGTTTCTATCAACGTCTTCCTTTTTTCCCACTGAAAATAATAGATTAATAGAAACAAGAGATAGGATAAACGAACTGTCTGTCGAAATGAAGAAGAAGAAGAAGAATGAGACTGGAAAACTAAACAAAGAAAAACATAAAAGAACCGAAAGAATGCTGTTCTAAGGGTGTCTCCACGTATGGTACCTCAGGCCTGGTTCTCAGGCCCTGTTGTATCTCGTGCAGGTAAAATATGCATTTCAGCCTTATTTTCACCCTCATTCATCAGAAACAATTCCTTATCGTAATGAGTTTCAAATTCTCATAGCAGCGTTTTTTTTGTTGCAATTTCGTACCCCAATTTGGCTCCTCAATATTTTTTACTAAGTAGTACCGCACAGCTTGTGATTTTAATTAAACCACCCATTTCTAGCCCTTTCAAACACATAGATCCAACATAAATATTTCAGGAAGCTTTCTGAGCCCGCTGGCATCGTATTTGACTGCTTATTTTTAAGCACACAAATTTTCGTGTAAAAAAGTATATGCAAATTTATTGCACATGAACCTTATTAATTATATACGACCCTTTTGTTCCATCTTGTAATATTTGAGATACGTTACAAGCTGTTTTAAACGTTTGTCTCTGTGACTGAGAGAGCTAATCTATAAAAACTCAGTGGCAAGTAAAATGGTTTGGTTTTTGTCTTGCGTTTGAAATGCTAGATAATTACAAATTCATTTAAGAAAAGGCTTAGTTTAGATCTTCTGAGTGCGACGGAGCACGTTGATTGAAAAGTCTTACAACAACAGTAGAATAAACTATAAAGGATTGTTGATAACGTTCTAAACTTGCAAGTCCAGCCTCTTGCTTTCCAGCCTCAAGTTTGCCTGATTGGACAACACCGGTATTAAGATGTTGGACTTTCTGCAGAATCTCACATATTACGCTTGAAGTGGAGCAAATTGAGATGCACTACTGAATCTTGTTTAAATCAACAGTCCTGTAACCTCCAAAAAAAAACAGCTGAAAATGGTAAATGAAGCAAATTAATTCAGAAGCAAATTAATGCAGGCTTAGCGCTTTTGAACAGGCTTGTTCAGAGCATACATAGTGCAGATTTTCAAGTCATGTAATGTTCTCTGTCTATAAAAATTTTTGTAACTGCAACTGATACAAAGACCCCTACGGTGTCGAGGTCTTCGATTTGGTAGGTATTGAGGAATGATGGTTTCTGCATCTAAAACATTTTAACGATATCTTCATATTACATGTTACAGGCACTTAACCTAAAAGGTGGCAGGAGGGCGTAAATACGACCGGTCAGAGGTACGGACCATCGTCATTACTTACTTATTCATATTTCTACTTTCTGTTAAACAACACGAACACTGAAAGTCATGAAAGTGGTGCAAGGAGGGGGGGAGTGGGGGGAAAACAGATCTTGCCTTGTCATATTTGTACCTCCAATACATGACGTTCATTGTTAATAATTCGAAGGGAGAAAAAGGCAATTGTTGTCAACCAAAGCAAAGAAACGCCAGATATCATACGTTAGCAAACAAAGAAAGGAACTCAAAAGCATTTGTATCAGTATCCATTATCATTTTAGTGACTGTCCTGCCAGACGTGTAGCAAAACACGAACACATTTTAAGAGAGTGAATTTTATTGCAATATTCTCTCGGGGCTTTTTACATCGTTATAGTGTAGAAAATGTAGTAAAAATTTGTGAGAATGCCCGGTTAGAATTCCAGTTCCCAAAAAAATTATTGCATTTCATTCTATAGAATTTATTGAGTTCTATTTTCTGTCTTGATGAGTTAATGACGTTCCTTGATGAAAATGAAGATAACACTGTCGTCATGGTAACGCGACAGATGAATATGGGATTACGGCATTTATCAGGTGGATTGCATTTTACTAACGCTACGAGTCAAATTCAACTGGAATTTCCATGAAAACGTGCTTTTATATGCTGCCGTTGAACTTTCCTTTCCACAAACTTAGCTCAAGTGTACTCGAAATTGATCACTGCCCTTATTGCTTTTGAAGTGTTTTGTAAAAACAATTCTCTTCGATTTTAATCCTTCGGCTCTCCTTTACATTATCTCTCATCCATTGAATTTGCTGATATGTAAGGGGTGTTATCCATGCTCGACCATGAAGAACTTTATTTCCGAAAGTACCACATTTATGGCCAGGCGAGAAAAATTAATACACTGTAGTGGCTGAGGAGGCTCTTATCTCTAATTGAAGATAAACGTCCGCGAGTCATAACCCAGTCAATCATGGAGTTAAAACGGAAATGCCGATACTCCGATTAAAGGTGCTTTTAATACAAGTTTAGAAATGTATTCCTTACCTTTATACTTTTTGTCCTCCGTACCTTTGAATTGTCCGAATTTATAATGAAAGATGCAAGATGACCAAAAAAGTCAAATGCGTTCAGTCCATCAATCTCCTCTCAACGAGATTTTTGAAATACGGAACGGTCAACAACAGATTGGAGGATATGATACTTGAGGTCCATGTAAAGTGCTCAATAGAAGCCAAATTTCGCTAATTTCTTTGACAATACAATTACAAACTGATTTTATCAAGGATATCAGTAAATGTTTCCAAAAAAATCTTCAGCACAAGGAGGATAGAGACCCAAAGTCTGGCGACTCCATCCTAAGAACCCTTAAGGAAGCAATAACGTTTCCGAGGACCTCTATTTTGTCGCCAGATTCTTCTTAGGCCCTTTCAGCTACCATGGGAAAGGTTGGCTTCTATCGTTCCACAAAAAGGTCAATTCTATTGATAAACGATGATTATCTTCAAGTGCCACACTAACTGTATTCAATATGAAAGCAGAGCGAAGATCTCTGAATTTAGACGTTTTCTCATAGTTGTTGGAATGTGGATGGTGGAATACTCGACAGGAAATCTTTGTTACTTCTTTCTTGAGAAAGGGATAAAACGATGACGAAAAAAGATTTTAAAAGGTTTTAGTTTGCTCATATCCTATAGCTTTTTTTATAGATGGGTATATTTCGTCGAAAAAAAGCATTTCAATGCAACGCTGACTACGTGCATTTGCGAGAGGATTGTAACGTTTATTTTCCAGATTTGGCTCGTTCAACCACATTCTTCCGGTTCTTTCTCTTCCAGTTCTGCATATGACACGAAATTTTTTTCTATTGTTTCTTGTTGCTGGATATCTATAGAAAACGTTTCGAAGCCTTAAAAGTGCTGGAAACATCTAAAATGCATTTTTTTGCTTTCAAAATACGCCTCCAAATTTCAAATTTTGCCTTCAGATTTGTCCCGGTCATCGCGCGGCCAAAATCGCACGTGACGTCACATTGTGCACCTAGATTCTTCGAAGTCAATGGAACTTTCAGAAGAGTCGGACTCAAAGGAATCATTAGAATCACTGGGCATCTGTGCCTTTCAATGCACTATCTAGTTACTACAAAGTACTGCAGAATCTTCTTAGCGACAACAGACCTTCGTGGTAAAGGTACACAATGTGACGTCACGAATAACTTCGACGGCGATAAACTAGGTCCCAGTCTCCTGGACAAATTGAAGGCAAATTTTTCGTATTTTGAAAGCAAAAAAAATGCTTTTTACATTTTCCCAGCACTTTTAAAGCTTCGAAACGTTTCCTATAGATATCGAACTACAAGAAACAAGAGAAAAAAATTGCATGTCATATGCACCTTTAACGTGCATTTGCGAGAGGATTGTAACGTTTATTTTCAAGATTTGGCTCATTCAACCGCATCTTCCGGTTCTTTAAATGAGTTTACTATTGAAAGGTTTACTTTGTCATGAGGCTCACAACAGAAAAAGTTCTTTGCTAGAGTACTTATTCTACCAAATAACTGAAGACACAGTTTAATTTGTCCTTTTATTCGTAGCGAGCCCGGTTTTTTTTGAAAACTGAAGTTTCCGAAATGTGTTCATACCTCTGGTGTTTTCCCTTCGTAGACAAATTCAAATAAATTACCTCTGTCAAGCTAAGAGCCTATGCCAATTATGTTTAAGTAATCAGGGACAGAACTCTTTCTTTGCAAAAGTAATCAACACAACACTTTTGTTCGATGAAACACTTGTTATTGTTACACTGAAAACGCAAAATAGCATTTTAGACCTTTTTACAACATTTTTGAAAAACCAGTTTTATTGGAAAATCGTTATCGTGACAATTGATAAAAAAGACAGCTGGTGGTCTCGGCAAATGAATCATGCTCATCCATTGGCTGCTTCTTCTATTATCCTACATCTAGGTACAGTTACCGGGTTCATTAGTTCTCTATATTGTTCCCTCCTGATTATAACTTGGGGCTGATATGTTCGTTACCATAAATTCAGGCATGAATCATTTGTAATCCATCGACAAAGTCCAGAGTCGCTCCTTTTTCTCTCTCAAGAAGATTGGACGCAAGTTTTAAAAACACTTCTCTGATAAAGTGAAAAGGAATAATTTGAAATATAGATTTTAAAACCCTCAATATAAATTAACGTTAATCGAAACACTTTTGTGGTCAATGGACTGTGAGAGCAACTAACTTTTTAAGCTCGGTCGAGGCGAGAATTGAGTTAGCTCAATGGCAAACTTACCAAAATAGTTTGGCATGACTCATTATGGTAACTTACGGCCGCTTTAGGGAAGCCTGATCTCTAAGATAGCATCAACTCTCGACTGTTCAAACTGGCATAGCTGTGGATTTTTTACTTAAATTCTAATTCGATTTTCACTTTATATGCAACGGAACAATTTAAATTTGAACAGCCATCTAGATCCGGCCTTAAATTGTTTTATGTGCCAGCTGAATTCTGTCAAAATTCTAGTCATTTTGAACATCTCCTCTTGTCAGTTTATGAAGATACTCAGTGCAAATTGTTAAAAGGTGTCGGAAGTAAGACGATGAAATTTGAGACTATTTCAATCGTTCAATCGACAGAATTGAGATGAGCACATTATTGCTGTAACATAAAATTTGAAAGTAATTTCGAGGATGAAACGCCTATCCATCACAATGGTAAAGACAGCTAATTTATTCAAGATAAACAGTCCTGTTTGACTGAAAGGTAAAAAATATTGACTCAATAATTCTGCAAAATCACTGGATGGATCGTTGTCACTTGATAAAAGCTCACGAGTTAGAAGTCTATAAAGGCTTATTGTAGACCAGGCATAGTTTCTATCGTCGCCGGAGCACAAGTAGGTTATTTATGATTCTACGTTTATATGTCAGCTGTTTTAAGCCGTAAATCGGTTTCTGTTTGTGACACCGTAGGTAACTGTAGCCGATACAATACTATGTTACCGGTGCCTGTCGCTTTTATGGGTACGGTAAGATGTCAATTTTTTGTACTTAAGACTAAAATTTTAACCAGTATGATAAAGAATGTTGTCCATAGTGCTACCATTCACCGATATGATGACGCGATATATTTCAAGGGCTCCGAATTAACAAGAAAACAGACAAAAGACAGAACACTACGTTCGATCTTCCAGAGGTGCGTAAATTAAAAATATTGGCGGAAACATAACATACATCCATTCGCTCAGTTATATTGTCATAAAATGTAATTATATACGATAAAATGGGTTACTCATCTTCTGCATCTGTATTGATAAGGGAGGAGATTAAGTAGCAATTCTGAAAAAGGATCATAGATGAAGAACTTGTTTTTAGATATTTCTCATGAAGAACTTAAAGTTCTTCAACTTTTGGGGCCGTTTCAACAAAAATGAGAACTTTTCTAACAGAGAGAAGGATGTAGACTGTCCCATATAACACAAAAGTCGTTGAGGTGAGATTGTATTTTTTGGTGTGATCTTTATAATTACAAATTTTGACCAAATTTCTATTTTGACTACATTACCACCAACAGGCGATTGCTAATTCATTAGCGTTCATACAATTGAGGGTTGTGCCACACGCTGTAATTTCATGAATTTTCCCTCAGTTTTACCTAAGCATTCGGATTCTTGAACGATTGAGAAAGAAAACCCCCGAATGCAGGGAACAATAACAATAGTTCATGTTTTTTTTTTTAAATTTCCGATCCATGATAATAATCATCGTTGATAATTTGAAACGGAGAAAATGAAATTGCAGTAAGCCAAAAGCAAACAAACGCCAAATGTTACTGTTTGATAAAAATTGCTGAAGAAAGCTATCGACCATAAACAATACGTGTTATTGTAGCGACCCTGCACCGCGAGATGTTTGGAAAAACAAATAACAATTTACTGTCGCTCACTCATCATTTTTTTCTAGGAAATGCTTTTTCTCGTCATGCATAGACCTCCAGAAGGTGCGAGCA